ACGGCGTAAATTTTCTCTTATGATCCGTTAATTCCTTTGGCACGGTACTCATCCCACTGTATTTCTGCGTGACTTTCCCGAAAACTGGTTGCAAGTTTTTGACTTGTAAATAGGAGGGATAGCATGATGCTAAACGTTTATTAGAAAGATATAGTAAATTTATTAGAAAGATAATTTTAACGCATCACATTGCATCTATCGCTCCCATGTCAAGGACCAACCACTGGTTGTCTGAGCCCAAGCACAGTGAGCTAAGTTCCTTGCTCAAGGGAAGTAACAGGTATTGAGGGAAAATTTACTTTGTGGTTGCGCTATGAAACCAACACTTCGAAAGCGTAGGAGAAACAAAAGTCCATTGCAACCAATCATATCCTCTATCCCAGCACCGAAATTTCCGAGAACGAATCACCACAACTTGAATACTCGGTCCTTAGTGAAATACCCTGAAGAAAATCTTCACCGTCGCGAAATTTCGATATATTCTTTGGCTCCTCATTCAGTGGCCTATTCTGCAATGTTTTACTTTTTCGTACTGCAAGCGGAGAGGTCCGTCAAACGTCGCCCTGGCATGTGATGCGCTCGTTCGTATGGAATTAAGGATGGACTGAAAAAGGCCAAATGGATGGATTAACAAATCTCACCTTCTGCATAGTGAAGTACATTAAGACGTATTTCTTGCTCAGAAAAATCGAAAGAACATTTTTTGCTGATCTTGGAAAAATCATAACAAGATCACTGATTCGCTTAAGCGCACAGCTCTTGTTGACAGAGCTTTCTTTCAAGACTAAAGCAAAAGCTTCCATTTCTGTCACGATTCTTCCTCTAATCTGTTTCATCATCGTCTTCCACCCTTTTGCTGCGTGTCATCACTTAGAGGGTGAGTCAAACAACGGTCATCTGCATCGGTCCGAGACAACATTCCAAACCTCGCATACGCTGACGACGTTGAACTTTTAGCGGAAGCACGAAGTTTCCAAAGGATAAAGGAAACTGAACTTCAGCTGTGACCTCATAATCAGGGAGCTTTAATTCGAGACATGGTAGCAACATCAAAGTTAAGAAAAACTGTCATACCATCATTCCGGTTCGGCAATTAGACAGAGAAAAATCACTTTAACGCACAGTTCTGTCATGCATACAACACTGCTGCCATCCTAGCACGTCACGGTGCTGACCTGGGTGTTGAGGTTATCGACGACGATCGATAATTTATGTATAGAGAAAGAACCAATAATTGCATTGAAGCAGGGTAGCAGTATTGCAGCCTCACGGGAATCGTCTTGGTTGTCAGACCAGTAGCCCAGCCTTTACATTTTCTGGGACTGAATTCTGACGAGAGCAACAAAAATACCAACGTGCTATATTTTGGCATTTGGCTAAAACTGAGTTTTTGCCCACTGAGTCTGCTTGTAAATCAAAATCACATATACACCCTGATTTTTATTCAGTCACGTAAACATAGCAAATGACACATATAGAACTACCTGCCATGATGCTGAAAGTAGCAAAGAGCAATACATACAAAATGGACAAAATGAATCGTTTCAGGAGAAAATATGACTATGAGTTGAAAAGTAGTTTCCTAGTCCTCTACAGGAGGCGTGGCCGTGGTTGTGCTTAGAAGGCATCTGAATCAAAAAAAAATAGTTTCGTACCTATGAAAATTAACAAACGGGTAAAACAGTACAGATTACAATACGGCCATAGAAACAACACAGCGCTAAGAGGAAGATTCATGAGCGACGCCTCATGAACCTCTGAAAACAAACGAAACTTTCTAAGAATGAAACAACTGGCGCCAGTGAAGGGTCCGCTGCCGCTGGCACATAAACATCTCCTCGTAGGCCATTAACTCCGGCGCTTGATCGCGTTCCACGTCTCTTCTCTGACGAAAATACCGTCCTAGTCAGAGCACCATCCTCGCTCGCTCGGCATGCAATCAGTCACGATCTCGGAACTGGATGAAAATACTCTGAACGTAGGTGAATATACACTTGTAGTCCGGTTTTTCACCCATCAGGAGCATGTCCTCGACCTCCAGTAGCGGAACAATACCAGCGTTTTCTCTAAAGTGAAACTATGAAGCACGGA